CAGCCAGGGCTGTCCCAGGGCACTGCTTTGCTGTCAGGACAGGCCTCAGCACTGGAGGAGTGGGGAGGTCCCTGAGCCCACCCCACACCCGCAGCCCCAGGGAGATGGAAGCCTGCTGTCCACCTCACCTCCTGGGATGCTGGTGGGAGGAGTGGTGCAGGGCAAGGCCCAGTGACTGGAGGAGGGGTTATAGGATTTCTGCCCCTGTGTGCCCCCCACCACACACCCTGGGGTGCCATCAGAGCCTGGGGGCACCTCACCCCAGAGAGGGAATTTCCCTCACCCTGTTGCACTGCTCCTGCTGTGGAGTTGGGGACAGACGTGGCAGAGAGGGGTGTTGTCCTGGGGGGCAGAGGAGGCTCAGGGGTTTTCTCTTCTCCATCGACCTAGCTCAGAATGGGCCAGAGCATGGGAGAAGTGCCTGCAGCAAGAGCCTCCTCCTGCCCCATTTCCCTGCAGAGATCGGTAAAGGGGCAGCACTCTGCAGTGCAGCCCTAGGGCAGGATCAGGCCCCAGTGGAGAGCCAGTCCTGACTTCCCCCATCTCAGGAGGCTTCAGGTTCTGTTTTCTGCAGAGGGTCCCAGGGCACCTGGGGGACAACGGCACTGTGATTGGCACAGACACATCATGGGAGGAGAGTGTCTCTCTTGCTGGCAGGTCTCAGGGGGCTGTAGCTCAGTGGCTGAGCAGCTGCTTTGCATGGGGGAGATCCTGGGTTCCATCCCCTGCACCTCCAGGGGTGCTGCTGCCCTGACTCCCCAGCCACAGGCAGGTGTGGGCTGGAGTTTAGGCTCTGGTCATCTCCAGGCCCTGTGGGCCTGTCCTGCCCAGCCAGGGTTTGGCTTTGAGGGCAGGAGGGCGGTGGCAGGGCTGGGTGTGCTGCCTCAGGGAGGGCACAGATTTCAGCAGCACGCTCGGAATCGTTTCTGGCTGCACTGAGGGATGTGCTGTGAGAGTGCTGGTCCAGCGCATGTGTCCTTTGGGACCAGGGCCACACTGCCCTGGTGGCTTGCCAGGGGCAAGGCTCTAAGATTGTCCTTTCTCCAGGGGGAGATCCCAAACCACATGGGAAGCACTCCTCTGTGCCAGCAGGTAGGGGTGTCTGAGCTGGATGAGCCTGGACAGGGCTGTGGGACTCCCAGCCGGAGGAATGACATTTCCTACCCTGACCCTGTCTCCAGGTGTTTCTCCTTCCACCGGCACCACTGGCTGGAGCAGAGCCCCAGTTCAGGGAACGAGGAGCTGCTGAGGTCAGGCACAGCTCGGCAGAGGTGAGACTGGTGGGGCCGGTGCCCACCTCTTATTCATGGGGTGTCTGGTGTCTCCGTGCACCCTGTGCTGGTGGGATCGGGGAGTCACAAGCCTGTCCACACACATGCCCAGGCAGCGAGGGCCAGGACATGGTGCCTTGGCTGCTCCCCCAGCAAAAAACTGGCAACCAAAACGGGGGGAGAGACACGGACTTTCACCACAGGGTGCCCAGCCCTTGGCAACAGGGAGCCCAAACTCAGAGAAATAAGGCTGCTCTCCCATGGACTTTCCACATCCGAGCTCTTCCCAGCGTGGGGCAGCGGTGCTGAGGGTTGGGGTCTCACTGCAACCCCCCTCAGGTAGATCCTCAGGAGCTGCAGGAGCAGCCACAGATCTGGGGCACAGTGGCAATCCTGCTTTGCTGCAGAGAAGGGACCCAGCTGGCAGGGCCAGCCTGTTAGGTCCCAAAATGCATGAAACAGGTTCTTTCTGCTCAGGGGTGCTGTCCCCTCAAGCACACCCACGCCTGGGGCTTATTTCCTCAAGGAGGAAGAGGCAAACCTCTACCAGGTGCCAGATTATGAGAGAAATATTACACCTGTGGGAGGGCAGAGCTGGTGGGGCAGTCACACCGGATAGGCACTGGGCTTCTTCTCCCCAGTTTCCACATTGGGGCACCTTGAGTGTGCAGATCAGTGTCCATACTGCCCAGAGGCCCCCACCATCCCATGTTCAGAAAATAACACTCTCCTCTTCATTACTTCACTTTTATAAACTTATTTCTCTGAGATGCAGGTCTGGAGCTTATCCCAGTGGGAGTTCTCCAGGCTGTGTTTGCAATGCCCATGGATGTCACGCATCATTGTGGGGATCTTGCCCTGGGAACACTGCTCTCCCATGAGGGCTGCCAGCAGGAAGGCTCTCAGGAGTGGGGCAGAGGGATGTGTGAACCTCGGCTCCCCCCAGGTGCCCCCAGGGTCAGCCCAGGGGTGGAGGAGCTCCCAGCAGGGAATGGGGCAACACTGCTATAGGAGAAGATGTTGGCAACGTCTGCCTCCTCTCCACTTCTGCTCCAGGGCCAGATCCTACTGTTTGCAGCACTATGGAGCTGCAGCTACTCCCCACAGGCAATCCTGCCACAGACACCCAACGCACCTTCCAGCCTGCAGCAGAGAAGCCCATTGGGGAATAGCCGGTGGAGTGCGGAGACCCACCAGCGGGAGCAGGGAGGGCAGTTGGGCAGTTTGGGCGCCAGGTCCTGCCCAGGTGCCAAACTCTTCTCCCAGCCTGGCTTCTGCACAAGGTTTCTGTGCCGTGGGTGCTGGGGCAGGTGAAACCCCAGCTGAGGGAGAGGGACCCTGGCTCAGCTCCCAGCAGCACCTGTTTTAGTGGAGGGACACAAAATCTCCACTGCCATGGAAAAGTGCCCACATGAGCATCCTCCCAGATGGGCCCTTCTCCAGGCCAGGGGCTGGACCATGGCTTTTGGCTGCTGCACGCGTCTTGTGGGGAAGCTTTCTCCATCCCCCTGGCCCTCTAACAGCACTGAGGGAACGGTGCCCTCATCCTCGGTGCTCCCAGCCCTCCTGTACCTGCCCACAAGTACTGCCCCGCACACAACCCAAACTGACATCCCTGGCAAGGCAGCAGGGGAGCAGGGGTGGGAGCTGGAGGGGAGCAGGAGGAGGGTTTCCCAGGGCTGCCCCGGGTCTGCAAGGCAGGAGGAACAGCCCATGGAGACTGAGGTCCTGGCAGAGCATGAGGAGAGAGAATCCCAGCCACGTGTTTCCCAGGAGGTGGCTCTGCACCCTGTGCCAGGGCAGTGGGGAGCAGAGCTGCCTCCCAAGCATTGTGGGAGGTAATCCACGGGCCATGATCCCACCTGGGGCTGGCTGGGGTGTTCAGGGCCCTGCGGTCACCTTAGGGCTCGCTTCTGTGAGACAAAAGCCCAGGGCTCACCCTGACATGGCAGCTCTGTCAGTGGCCTCTGCATGGTGGGATCAGTGTGGCCCAGGCAGGGCCTGGGGGAAAGAGCAGCTGGAACCCTTGGGGGAGAAAATGGGTGCTCCCACTGGGGTGCATCCAGGGACCTATCAGAGAGCCATTTTGTCTAGAAACTGCCTGTGGGCAGCAGGATGGAGATGTCTCTGTCACCAAGATTATTCCCCAGGGACCATGGCCTCACGCAGCCCCACAGGCTGACCTTGAGCCTGCTGTCCCTGAGACGTGTCCCTTCCCTGCCACCTGTGTCTCTGTTCTCTGCTCCCCCTGAGCAGCCTCAGGGAGATGTCCCTGACACCTGGCAGGGAAGCATCAGCTCTGGGTCAAAGCCCCCAGAAGCTTTTAATAAGCAAATATAAGAATGCACAGCATAAAAATGGGAATAAAAACGGAGGAATCTCCCGGCGGTTTCTGATGCCCATGACTCAAGGGAGACAGTCCCCTGGTGCTCCTGGCTCTCCCAGCTGCACAGACCTCTCCTCCCTCCTGGCTGCACCCAGCTGTGCAGCAGGGATGGGCTCTCCTGGCCTGGGGCTCAGGGACTGCTGTGCATCAAGCTTCGGTGTCACAGCCTTTGCGTCCTCACAGGGAAGTGCCACAGGCACCTCTTCAGCATCATCATAGCCCATGCTCCCCTGGGGACGGGGACGAGGTGTCTCCTTCAGCTCCAGGGACGTCGGCACTTCTCCAGGAGCGCAGGCTGCCCCCTGCAAGCAGCAAGGCCGGACGTTTCAGTTCACACCATGGGGTCTGTACACCACCACCCTCCCTGATTCCTCACCACATTCAGCTCCTTCTCCCACCCCCGGGCCTTTCAAGGAAAACTCCCATGCCAGGTTTCCCTCTTCCCTGCAGGTTTGGGTGTCAGTAGGGTAGTGACTTGAGGGGCACCAGGGATGGCACCCTAGGAACAGGCAGCGCTCTCTTTCCCTCTCACCTCCAGGTGCAGCCCTGGGCCCTGCTCCCTCCTCTGGCATCCTGGGCATTTCCCACTCTCCCTGCCCAGGCACAGCATCCTCCCCCGCATCAGGAACCTCCCTGGCATCATCGTAGCCATCTGCTGGGTCACCTCCGGGCAGGACAAGGACGTCTGAAAGGAGAGGGGAGTTGGTGACAGTGAGAAGATCCGTCCTGCAGAGCAGAGGATGGGAGGATGTGCAGGGACACAGAGCGCAGACACTGGGCTTGGCAGAACCACAAGATGATGCCCATGTCCTCCCCTTCTCCGATGGTGACACTCAGGGACACCTCTGTCCACCCCATGTCTGCAGGGAGATCAACCCCTTCCTGCCTCCGTTACCTGGTGCTGATCCCAGACCTTTCTCCTCCTCACTGACCCCAGGGTGGGGCTGCAGCTGGGTCAGGGACTCCTCTGAATAGGAGCCTGGAGAGATGCACAGCGGGTGTTATGGAGCAAGCCCCACTGACGTGGTTCACGGTCAGCGCTGCTGGGGAAGGGGGACCCACAGAGCTGGGGCTATGTGGGGAGGAGGTCTGGGAATTCACCCTGCTCCCCCGGGACAAACCCTGTCTCAAAGGAGCTTCCAGAGCTGGCCCAGGACAGCCCCTTCCCTCGCTCCTCGGGTGTCTCATGGGGTGCAGGGGCAGGAAGAGAGGGGCTGTCCAGCTGGGACAGTCAAAGCTGACTGGGAGAAAGCTTCTCTCCTGGATCCAGGACCTGGATGCTCTCCCCACAGCCCCCACAGCCCCAGCGCCACAGGGACCACAGGCTGGGGGGCTTCAGGGGGTCAGCTCTCGGTTGGGGCCAGAAGGAAAGGGTCCTGCGGATGTGCCTCCAGGGAAGACCCACACCCACCTGAGCGATCAAACCTGGCCCGTTTCTCCCACGCTGGGCTGTACCCGATCTCCTCGTACACAGCCTCGGGGAAGGGCTCCTGGGCTCTTCTGGAGCCTGTGGACAGAGACAGGGCTGGCACAGGGACAGGCAGAGGGGCAAAGGGACCCCACTGTGCTCCCCCAAAACGGTTCCATGTGCCACCTCAGGACTGGTCCAACAGCACAGCCCCACTGCACTGTCCAGGCACAGCTGCCACATCCCCAGTGAGGGCAGCATTGGTGTGAAGATTATCTGGGGCAGCATCACCCTCACATCATCCCTTTGGAGACAGTGCTCATGCCCCTCTGGCCTGTGCACCATGTCCCCCTTGTCTCACCCCGGATATGTTCCCACATTTCCTCTCCACCTGGAGCTTGCCCCTACCTGCCCCTGTCCCACCAGGGGGTGGGCAGGGCTGGGCAGGGGGACAGCCTGGGGGCCTGACACCACGGTGATGGACCCTGCTGCCCCACACTCCTCCTAGCATCTCTCTTGCCCCAGAGCCCCCTCCAGCACTACCGAGAGCACTGCCAGCCTTGGCCATCCCCTCTCTGCCATTTCTCTCCTCACACCATGGCTAACTGCCCCCACCTCGGGGCTCTCTCCACCCCTTGCTGCTGGTGCCCCACAGCCAGGCACTCAACGGGGAAGCACATGAGGCAGGTAGCAGCACACAGTCTCACCCTCCCGCTCTGCCTGTGCCCCTTGCTGACACCCCCCGCAGCACCCTACAGCCCTACCAGGAGGTATCTCCCCCCGGCACCTCTGGGCAAGGACCCACCTCTGCGCCCAGCCCTGGCGCTCAGCACTTGTCCAGCCAGGAGGGCCAGGAGCAGGCAGACAAGGGTCCCCAGGATGATGCACATGATGACGGGCACTGAGACTCTCCCGCTGCTGCTCTGATGGCCTCGGGTGGGATCTGCATGGGAGACAACTTCGAAGGGGCAGCACCCCAGGGGTGAGTGACAGGAAAGCTTCCACCATCCTGGGTAAATTATAGCTCTCCCCAACCCCCTGCCACCACTCCAGTATCTCCTCCAGGCAGTTTCACACCCCAGCTAGGAGCCCCTTCCATCCAGCTGTGGGTCACAGCCTGGCCCCGGGGGTACCCAGACTCCGGGGAGGACAAGTTACCTGCTCGGGGTGGGGGTGTTGTCGTCCTGGGTGTAGCTGCAGAGGAGGAAAAGGAGAGCTGGGCTGAGACACTGGGTGTGTGGGTATCAGGAAACCTCCTCCCCAACACACCGTGTGTGTGTGTGTGTGTGTGTGTGTGTGTGTGTGTGTGTCTCTAGATGTCCCTGACACATCCCACCCAAATTGCCCCTCCTGTAGTGCCAGAAAGGGAGGCCGGGACAGAGCCCAGCACCTCTGCTCTGGGAGGCAGGCAGGATGGCAGAGGCAGCCCAGGGGATAGCCCTGGGGCTGCAGGGCCCCATGGGCAGTGGCCAGAGCACGGCCAGTTACACCGAGGCTGCTCCCTGCCTGGCACCGGGCTCCTGCACTCCACAGGAATGTTCTTTCTCTCGGAAGGTCGGGGTCCATGCCCGGACCGCGTGGACAAAAGGCCTTCCCTAGTTCCCTGCTAATACCCGAGCAAAGGCTCCCAGCCCTGCCACTAACCTGAGCAGCGCACAGCAGCATCTTCCTTGTGCCGGCAAGCCCCGCTGTCCCCGGGCCGGGCCCAGCAGTCCTGCAGGGATGGCTCCGTCCCCCTGGCACTCCACCTGCTCCAGCCAGATGGGGCCCGTCCCCATCCCAAATGCAGCCTCATGCAGGGCAGACACCGCGGGGCCACAGCCCAGCTGCCTGCACGCCACCTCGGCATCCTGCATGTCCCACGAGTCGTCGCACACCGTCCCCCAGGAGCCACGGTGCCAGACCTCCACTCTGCCCGAGCACTCGTCCTTGCCTCCCACGGCACGAATCTTCTCCCTGGCTGGAGAAGAGTAAGACCTCCCATGGCACCGGGAGAGCAGGCAGAGCCCTGCCAGACACAGAGGGGAGCTCCCTACCTGTGCAGCTCGTGGAGTTGGGGCACGGTGCCAGCGAGGTTGGAGGCATTTCTGGCTGTCCCCCTGAAGAAGGAAACACTGTGGTGAAGGGGCTGGTTTGGGGGATCATGCAGAAGAGAGTGGGGCTGAGCTCTGCTCGGGCCTCCCTGCACCATCTGGGGCAGCAACTGAAACCCTGTCATCCATGGGACACATGCAGGACTGTGGGGGGACCCTGATTGCTCAGCCCCAGAAGGTCCCTGGCTCACAGAGCAGCAGTAGCTTGTCTGTGGAGGGGAGGCTCTTCTGAAAACCATCTGGTCTCTTCTGAGACCTCACCTGGAGATGCCTCTGCTTCCCGCAGGCACTGCTGGTAACCTGGGTGGCAACTGCTGCTGGATGTGTGTGGCCGCGGTCACGTTTGTGCCACTGGCAGCACAAGGGTCTGGCATGGAAAGTAAAAGCCTCTCCAAGCTCTTTCTCTGTGTTTGGCCATGCCCTGTGGGGAGCAGGAGCTGGGGTGACACTGGTGCCCGGGTGGCTCAGAGTTACCATTGCAGGTGATGTGGATCTCCTCTTCCAGGTATTCACATGACTGTGGGTTCCAGGGTGTGGAGGGACACTGCCAGAAAGAGCTGTTTGTCTCCCCACACCTGCACGTGATCCAGCCAGGCAGGGCCAGACACCCTGCCAGAGGGCAGGCGTGTTTCCAGGGATCCTCTGTCCCCGCAGCCCAGCTCCTTGCACGCCAGTGTCACCGTGTTGTCAGTGATGGAGTTAGAGCAAATGCTCCCCCATGTCCCGTTGTAGAAAACCTGCAGGCGCCCGGAGCAGCCGTCGCTGTTCTCCAGCCTCAGGGCCACGAACTCTGGGAAGAAAAGGCCCCAAAGCGGGAACAGGCTGATCTGGGGCTGTGGGAGCCAGGACACCTCTACATCCCCCCAGGCCCTCAGCCGGGCAGGGGCAAGGCCACCACATCCCCCTTGCACCCAGGGGCAGAGAGAAGTCCCGGATTTACAGCCAGCCCTGCCCTTCCCGCGAACCCTCGGGGACAGCTGAGCTCCCCAGGGACCCCCCGTGGGACTGAGGGTGTCCGTGCATGGGTGGGCCTTGGGCAGGAGCTCAGAGGCAGCCAGGGGCAGCCTTGGCCATGGCCGGCTCTCCCCGCGTCCTGCCCTCCCCGGGACCAGGCTCCCACCACAGCTCCTGAGGTGGCACAGACCTGAGCAGACGACTCCCGCATCCTCTTTGTGCCCGCAGTCGTGCTGCCCCCAGGGCCCAGCCGGGCAGTCCCAGAGAGCAGCTTCGGCCCCGGAGCAGTTCACACCATCCAGCCAGATCTGCCCGGAGCCTTCCCCGAAGCGAGCGGAGCCGGCTACCTCCACTGCCTCTCCGCAGCCCAGCTGGTGGCAAACGACGGCGGCATCAGACAGGTCCCAGCCGTCGTCGCAGACAGTCCCCCAGATGCCCTGGGAGTAGATCTCCACTCTCCCTGCACAGCGCCCGGCCCCGTTCACCAGCCGGACCCGCCGGCTCCCTGCAGCGGGTGGAAACCCCAGTCGCTGTCAGGGCCTGCCTGCCTGCGCAGACCGTCACCTGGGCGCCTGGGCAGTGCCACTCACCCCAGCAAATGACTCCCACGTCCTCCGCAAGCCCTGCTGCCAGCGCAGTGCTGGGCAGGGAGGTGTTGCAGAGGGTCAGCTTGGCCTCGTGCCCTGCACACCGGACCCCTCGCAGCCCCACGGGGCCCGTCCCTCGCTCAGGCTTTGGGGGGTTGTAGGCTGTCCCTGCCTCTCCGCACCGCAGCTGCCGGCACACCACGCTGGCCTCCTGCACGTCCCACTGCTCATCCAGGACTCTGCCCCACGCCCCATCCTGGAAGATCTCCACTCGTCCGTCGCACCGGCTCCCTCCGCCCACCAGCCGCAGGGATCCAAAGCCGGCTGGGCCTGGGGACAGCAGAGATGCCACTGCCATCGGCGGCACCGGGAGCATGGCACCCTGCAGGGAGCAGGGCGAGGGGGGATTTTCAACCAAACGGGACAAGGTGGAGCCTTGTGCTGACGAGAAGCAAGGGCAAAGCCTGGGCCCTCCCTGCAGCTCACAGCCAGGTCAGCTGCTGCTGGGGGCACCAGCTCCTGCCTGGGTGGGGGGATGAGGCTCTGCAGGGCTCTCTGTGGGGACGGGATGCGGTCGGCTGCAGCCAGAGGGATGGAGCAGAGCCCTGCAGCCCTGTCCTGGGCTCGCTGCACAGTACGAGGACAGAGGAGCCCGGGCCTGGCGGTGGTGCTGGGGCCTAAGCCACTGCCCTGGGGGCAGATGCCTGCCTCTGTTCAGTCCTCAGCTCTCCCAAAGTCGAGCGGTCCGTCTGAGCAGGGAAAGCCCTCCAGACGGTTCCTGGGGAAGCCAGGGTTTCCCCAAGGAGAAATTCAGCCTGATACAGCCATGGAACCCCTACTTTTAGTGGCTATGTTGCACACAAGTTACAAATGGAGCTTCATGCAGCATTTTTCCAGCACTCACCTGAGCAAATGACAGCAGCAGCGTTCCCTTGGGAGCACGGCGAGGCCCCCAGGGTGGTCACTGGGCACTGTTGCAGGAGGGCTTCAGTCCCGTCACAGTGGAATGAGTCTCTCCAGACAGGGCCAGTCTCTCTCCCAAAATGTTCTCCTCCAGGAATGGATTCAGCAAACCCGCAGTTGAGTTGCTGACAGAGAACGTGGGCATCCGAGAGATCCCAGCGGGAGGCACAGAGGGTCCCCCAGGTCCCCAGCACCTGGACCTCCACCCTCCCCGCACACACTGTGCTGCCATTCACCAGTCTGATCCCTGTGTACTCTGGGGACAGAGGCAGAGAAAAGAGAGTGGATTGGTGCTCCTGTACCCTCAGTAGCTGGTGGAGAGGCCAGAGGGACAACATGACTTTGTTTTCCTTCTGCAGTATTGTCATGCTGCAAACAAACCCATCAACCCCTCCTGTCCTCACACCCGGCCCAGCACGGTCCCTGCTCTGTTCCCCAACCCCTACCACAGCCCCGGTGTTCAACAGCCCACCCTGAGTCCTTACCTGTGCAGTTCACAACAGCGCTGTTTGCGTGGGTGCAGGGCTGGTCCCGGGGGGACCCACTGGGGACAGGAGGCGAGGAGGGATTCATTCCCCACACACCGCAGCTCTCCATCCCACATGGGACCCACCCCTTCTCCAACGTGACTTCCTCCAGTGACAGGCAGGGCTGCGCCGCACTGCAACTCCCTGCAGAGCACGTCAGCAGCCTTGGGACCAAAGTGGGAATCACAGACACTTTTCCACAGGTCCCCGTCACGGATCTCCACGCGTCCTGAGCAGCGGTTCTTCCCTTCCATCAGACGGACAAATCCTGGAAATAAATCAACTGGGAGTTCCTAGAGCCCTGTGGCATTCCCATGCCCACATCCCACACCACCTCCATGCAAACTGTGACCAAAATCACTCACTGCACAAATTAGAAGAAGATATTTAAGGGGTGATGGTGTCACTAATGCATCCATATCAAGTTACACACCTTCTCTCCACCATCACAGCACTCAGGGGGGTGTGTCTATTGCAGACCCACAGCAGACTCTGCAAACCACGTTGGCACCGTTGGGGCCAAAGTGTGAGTTACACACCGCGTCCAAAGGGCCTCATCATGGATCACTATACATCCTCAGAAGGACCTGTGCCCTTAGAGCAGCCGGACAGATTCTGGACCAACCAATGACCCTGAGAGTTTCCACAGCCCTCTGGCAATACCCTGACTACATGCCAGCTGATCTCCAAGGTGGCCACAGACAAAAAGCCCTACGACATCCCCAGCTGCTCTCAGGGGGTGCTGGTGGTACAAACACATCACGCCCGGCCCTGCTGCTCCTCAGAAATCAGCACAGCACTTGGGGATTTGTTTCTCTTCCAACATCCACAGCCACAGGAGTCTCTCCAACAAACTGCTGCTGCTGCAGAGACCTTGGGCTGCCCAGTACTGGTCCCTGGGCACTGCAGCCCCCATAGCACTCGGGGTTTGGGGAAATGGGGCCAGGTGCGTTTGGCTGCTGCAGCTTGCTCTGCCCCACTGAGCTCAGCGCCAGGCGTGAGGAGCCCCTTGGTGCCATGAGAAGTGCACCACATGCCCACAGAGATCTTGGGCTGTTGGGGTGAGGCTGGTGGATGGGACATGTCACAGGACTAAGGGACTGTGAGGATGTACCCGTGGTCAGTGGCTGGGCCACCAACCTGCTCAGGAGCCTACCCAGTACAGAGGTTCTCGGCCATGGCCAGAGTGCGCTGCTGGGCATGCATGGCCCTGCCCAGTGGCTGGGCAGAAGGCAGGAGAGTGGACAGAAGAGCAGCCCTGGGCTTACACGTGCTCCTGGTTCAAGGGTGGGCACAGAGGAGAGCCAGTAATTGCTGGCAAATCCCCTGTGGCACAGAGCAGCCAGGGGCTGGGGCAGGCAGAAGAGGCTGGGTGGCAGGTCAGCACTGCCTGCACGGTGCCATGTCCCCATGAGCAGGCTCTCATGGGGTGACCCTGGGAGAGGAACAAGGTGCCACGTGCCACCATGCTCTTCTAGCCAAGCCCAGTGCTCTTCCTCTCCAAGCAATCCCTTTGCTTCAGCCAAGAGACTCATGTCTGCCGGCAGGGATAACCCAAAAGTAGCTCCCCATCTCACACCCTTCCCCAGGATGGTCGGTGGCCACAGGAGTCACTTCTGGTGCCTCTGGCATGGGGGCAGCTGGCCCGCAGCACCGCCAGACAGCTCCTGGGTGAACAGGAGGAGAAAGATGGCAATCAACAGACCGTGCAGGGCAGGGATGGAGGGTTCATCTGTGCCAGCTCAGGGACCAGGCACAGTAAGGCACCCTTGGGCAGGTTCCCACTGGCTTTCCCCAGGCACTGGGGACACCAGTAATGACAGTCCCAGCTCAGCAGTGTGACTGGCCACACTGGGCAATGCTCTGGTGCCTGACTTTTGCTCCTTGAGGGCGCAGCAACGTTCCTTCCACAATCTGAGCCCCAGAGGTATGGAATAGGTTGTCATCTTACCTGAACACACCACTCCAGCATCATAAGCATGACCACAGTCATGTTCACCCCATCCTCCGTGTGTGCAGTCAGACAGGGCAGATTCGGTGCCATTACAGCCAACATCATCCATCCAAATGGGGCCAGATCCTTGCCCAAAGTGTCCGTACTGAGGAGCTTCAACAGCAGACCCACAGTCCAGCTGTTTACAAACCACTGCTGCATCCTTCATGCTCCAGTAGTGACCACACACAGTCCCCCACTTGCCGTGTTGTTTCACCTCCACTCTCCCAGCACAGCGCCTGCCGCCGTCCGCCAGCCTCACCTCCACAGCACCTTCAAACACTGACACAGGACCAGTCAGGACAGCGCTCAGCCCCAGCACCACGGGTCTGGGGAAGCCCTGTGCAGGTGGAGTCCGAGGCACCAGGGTGGGAGCCCACTCCCATCCAGGCTGTCCCCAGGGCAGTTCAGGGATCCCTTCTATCCTCATGGGCTGTGCAAGGCTAGGGGTGCCCAGCTCCTGGCCCTGCTGGGTCATTTGTGGCACCACACACTTTGGCACTTCCACCACAACAACCCCTCGTCCCTATCCTGTGCTCACCCAGGGCTGCTGCTCCTCCCCAGACAGCACCCTGAAAAGGGACCTGTCCCCACCAGGGATCCCCCAGGCTCACATGGCTACTCCTCCCCAGAGCCCCCAGCTCCCCTAGACCACAGCCTGCCCTGGGCTCCTCCCAACTCACCCTCTTCCCTCAGGACTTTACGTGTCCCCTGTGGAGCAGAATGATCGTCCCAGTGAGGCCTCCCAAACCATGCTCCCTCCTTGTCCTTGGGCATCAGCCCAGACCTGACCTTGTCTGGGATCCCCCCAGGAAGGTCACCCCTTTGCGAGCCTCTGGGAACAGATACCCCAGTTCCCTTGTCTCCACAAGCACAACCCACCCCCGGTCAGGCCTGGGAATCACCCTGACTCCGGGACAAGAGTGAAGAGCCCACACCCCTTCCTGGGTACCCCGGAGGCTGGCTGTGCCTCTGGGATGACAGAACAAAGAGCCACCAGTTAAGGCACCACCAGCTCACAGGGAACAGAGCTGGCAGAGCCAGGGCCCCAGGGACGGTGCCCAAGGATGGCAAATCCACACCCGGGTACCAACGGCCAGAAACGTGGGAGCCCTGGAAGCAGAAAAGCCCTTCTGCCACGCAGAGAAGCACAGGCTCAGTGAACCTGTTCACTTTCTAGCCCTTGTCACATCGACACATGGGAAGAAGCCCCGTTTCCAGAGGGATCCCTGTGCTGCTCCTTGGCCCCAGGGCTTTGTGGCAGGGCAGCAGGCATTTCCCCCTGCACAACTGCACCCAGAGGAGCAGCTACAGTAACTAAGGGGACAGAGGGACTCTGTTCCCATCCTGAACCTTTCGGCAGCCGTGCACCAAATGCAGGAGGACTGAGACAGAATGCGAGACATTGGCTTCTGCATCTTTTCCTGCATAACTGCAGACTGCAGGAGACAACATCACCCCTCCTGTTCTCAGGCCAAGGCCAGCACAGTCCCTGCCCTCCTCCCCTGCCCCTGGCACAGCCCCGGTGTTCAACAGCCCACCCTGAGTCCTTACCTGTGCAGTTCACAGCAGCGCTGTTTGCGTGGGTGCAGGGCTGGTCCCGAGGGGACCCCCTGGGGCAGGAGGTGAGGAGGGATTCATTCCCCACACACCGCAGCTCTCCATCCCACATGGGACCCACCCCTTCTCCAACGTGACTTCCTCCAGCGACAGGCAGGGCTGCGCCGCACTGCAACTCCCTGCAGAGCACGTCAGCAGCCTTGGGACCAAAGTGGGAATCACAGACACTTTTCCACAGGTCCCCATCACGGATCTCCATGCGTCCTGAGCAGCGGTTCTTCCCTTCCACTAGCCGGAAAAATTCTAGAAAAAAATCTAATCAACTGGGAGTTCCCAGAGCCTTGTGGCATTCCCATGCCCACATCCCACACAACCTCTAAGCAAGCTGTCACCAAATCACCCATTGCATATCCCCGTGATAGCTTTAAGTTTCCATGTAATATTTGCTTGAAAGGACAGATTGCGTAGAAGGTAGGTCCTTGAAACAAGCTGTTATTTTTAACAATAGTCCTATGAAGGTAGCAGTTGCTTTATTGCATAACCTTTGAAGATAGTGGGTGCTTAATTGGATAGTCTTGCACGTAGCTACTGACCATCCAAGGTCGGCTTAGATTAAGTAGTATACATGCTGAATGCCCAAAGATAATAACAAGAAGAAGAGTTGCAAAAAGACCAGAATGGACTGATTTTGTCATGTGTGAACTTAATGAAAACAACGATGAGTATCAAGATAGACAATTTTAAGAAAAGGAGAAGGTAAAGAAGATGAGCAAGGTGGAAGTAATGGCCACTGACATACTGAAACGACCACCAGGATGCACAACCACGCATGTGTAAAGGGCATTATAGTATTAAAAGGAGTACCAGGGAAGGCTTGTATTTATGTATATACTCGCCATAAAGCTAATGAATATGTATGACTTTTTCCTATATTGACAGGATACAAACAAGTTCAGGGAGTCAGTGCTAGGTGGAATTAAGCCTCACTGGCCTGGCATGAGTGAAGGAATGCTTCCTTCAGAAACCGTAAACCTTGGTCTCTGAGAGTTTCCTTACAGACTGACTTTTGCATTAATGAAAGAGGAAGCTGTTGGGGGAGTGTTAATGTCAAAAAAGCATCCAGGCTAAGTTACACACCTTCCCTACACCATCAGAGCACTCAGGGGGGTGTGTCTA